GCATTTCCCCCAAGACTCTCCTGTTTCCGAGAGAACAAACGGGACATCCATCTAACATTAGTAGCATCTTTCCTTCATTCGTTCAACATCTATAATGCAACGAAGCCCATCGTCTTGGAAGGGAATAGGCCGCTTCGGATGGTTCAGGCTGGACGCGTAACGGGAAGCCGGCGTCACCGTTACGGAAAAGGAGCAGAAGAAGAAGAAGCGGGCGCAGCGGCACCCAACTAGACGGAGCAGAGCAGGAACAGGAGGAGGAGGAAGAGGTGGAGCAGGGAAGAAATGAAAAAGGAGTAGCAAAAAGGAATGAAACGGGGCCGCCGGTAAAGGGAGAGAAGGGAACCGTACATAGGAGATCGTTGCTCGTATACCGTTGGTCTCTCTCGTGAAACCCCTTGCCAGAAGACATCGTTATGTGGAGAAAATCTACGGACGTGTAAGGAGAAGAGGAGAAAAAGTAGGTTCGAGTGAAACAAGTGGAAGAGAGAGAGAGAGAGGGGGAGGAGAAGAAAAAGAAGCTGGACAATTCTCTGATCTGAGAGAGCCTAGCCGTTTGCGCGCGATGTGATTTTATGATGGCCGTAGAAACTATCGTCGGAAGCAAACGGTATCCGCTCGTCCGCTTGCTGGCTGGATGCATCCGCGCAACCATCACGGGGACAATCGAGAGCAACCCCGTTATACTCGGCTCGTCGCGTGGCGCTACTCCTTGCGTCTTTACCTTTGCGAGTGACAACGACCGAATGCTGGAAACGCTCAAGATCGTTTCGCAGAATCGACCATCTTCAACTGTAACTACGGCACGTTCAATTGCTCTTTCGAAATTATCTGATCAACTAAAAATGCGCTACAATTACGATCTGAGTGTCGCTCAGACTGTTTCTATAATAAGTCAGAATAACGTGTATTTAGCGGATGCAATAATAACGGAAAGTTTTGTTTATCATTTCCAATTTTAACTGAATGTATACATATATAATACTCTATCAGTGCTAAATTCTAAAAGTATGTTTTTCTCGATATAGCTCATAATTTTGATACTAAATTTAACAAAACGTAAAAAGATTGATAAACTGTTTGGAATGCAGTTCATTGATTAAATTTTATATTATCTTTCTCTCTCTCTCTCCTCCCTTCACAGATAAATTTAATGATCAAATTAAGTTACATCATTATATCGAAAAGGATAAATCGGGGAAAGTAAATTTAATTCAAATTTTGCGATTAAACTTTCTACGTCACGGTAGCTAACTCTTCGTGAAGAGCATGAATTTTTTATTGATATAAAAAAAATTATTTGAAAGCTAAAATGCAAACTGCTGGTACAGGAGAGCATACGAATTTGTTATTTTCCTCTTTCACCAAGTTGACTCATTAAATGAGAGATGACACGGATTATAATTGTAAAATTAAAATTTAGCTGAACAATTATAATGAAAGCGGAGGATTTAATGTAGATCGATTGTAATCGACGATTGACGTCACATCATAAAAGCATTGTTAAGTTATTCAATAAATCACGAAATTTGTAATGACGAATTTTTGAGAAGAGAGAACCACGCTTAAAACGAGTAACAGCACGCTCATCATCATGATTATTCTGTACTGTAGCACCGAGATGCATCGAGTGTTAATTACGGTCGATATGAGCGGTTTATTTTGAAAGTAGTGTAATTCTACTCCCGTAAATCCTCATAAATACAATAATTATACCGCCTCATATTGTATCCTTAGCTCATAAAAATTTGTAATTACAACTACTTGCAAAGTAAGTAGCGTGTACAATATTAATTAAATATGATAAAAATTACACATATACAATTATTAATTAATAATAACAGAGAACTTAGTTAAATAAATGGATGTAAAATAGAGAAGTACGCACATCATACGTGTGTGTGTGTGTGTGTGTGTGTGTGTGTGTGTGTACATATGAGTGGAACTTTTAGTTGATCCATAATTTCAAGAGAGCAAGGCGGAAGTTTTTATGGGTGCGCCGCAATTACATACACTAGTAATCAGTTCACAGTTAAGTCAAAGTTCTTCAGTACTTGTTCGAAAGAATCATGCCGCTCATTAGAGACGTATGTTAAATGGTCACGCATGAATAAATCTAAATGTTATTTTCTTCCGTCGCGTTTATTTCTCGCGGAAACACCACCTTTCTTGCCCGACACGAGAGATAAGACGTAAAAAAATCACCTTCTATTTATTTTACATGAGTGATAAACTAGCACCTATGTTTCCTCCCGATAAAAATATCATTAACTTGAGTTATGATCATATTATAGATCATAGTTCCTTGCTAATAGTTTATATTTCACGTTGCTGCAATTTGTACAATTTAGATTCGCGATAATGTAATGTTATATCGCGCGCTAAGTCTCTTTCAAAGCTATACCAGATCTCCATGGCGCTATAATCCATCAGTTTACTAATAAATCGATTACGCTATATCCACGTGGAGGCTACTCGCCTTTGTTCGGAAATCAGCGGGGCGGTAAATGCACCGAAAGCGCTGCACGTTCGAATAAACGGCATGATGCGATGCTAACGATATTATCGTGCTCGACAATATCAAAACCGATATGCAGCTCGTTTCGACAGTGTTTATTGGCAACCATCAAACTCCAATAATAAGGATAATTAAATCTGGGCCTATTTATCTACAAACAGTCTGAGGTTTATATTTTTCGATTTATATTTTTGTCGACAAAAAAATAATGATAGCCATACAATTAAATTCATAATGTCAAATTAATATCTATAATTTAAGTTATTTTTAATCATTTCTTTAGGTCGCTGCTATTGCTACTCAATATGTTGTTAATTTTATTAAAACAATGGAAGTTAAACAATTTAACTCAAGAAAATGTATTAAATTTGATTCACTTTTAGTTTATTATTTATTAAATGTATATATCAACATGGACGTTGTTTACTTTGAAACAAACTGTGGAAATGGATTGATTTACATTTTGACACACATGGAAGTTAAAAATAACAAAATTTTATTAAATTAGCCAATATTAGATTTCTAGCAATAAAATGCAGTACACGTTCAATTTTGTCGTTCAATTTGTTTCTTTTTTTTATATTAATGCTAATTTTTTTTACGTTAAGACGAAGAATGATATAATTACAATTACATTGTCAGATCAATTGCATCAAAAAGAAGCAACCTAGTCTCTTGAGTTAAAAATAACAAAATATAGCGTTAATGTAAAAAAAAACGAAGCTTGTTCGGAAAAAAAATGAGCGAGAAACATGTGCTGCACTTTATTGTCCTAGAAATTTAATACTGGCGAATTTAATACTTGCCTCAGAAATCTAATACTAGCCAATTTAATATTTGCCAATTTATTACTGAAAGACAGTAATTAATTACTTCTTTGGAGTACTAAAAGCATTTAATAACAGTGTTTTTAATATTTAAATAATTAATTATACTGTTGTTCAGTATTATAATTCTCAACTACAGTGAGAGGGATTATTTGAACTCAAAACAAAAAATTTTAGACGATTGTATAATCTGTACGATTAATATAACTAGATAGATTCTAAATTGTAAAAAAAACTATGAACTTTTTTCTATCAATCGCCGTAAAGTTTACTTGCGAAGGTTCACTTGCATTCTGTATTCCAAACAGTACGTTTCGGAAGTTAGTAGTTTTCGTATCGTAGCTGATTAAATTGGCCAGTATTAGATTTCTACAAGGGGTATATGTGATAACGTTTAGCTATCGTGATGTAAGCTACCTCATTGAGATAACATTAAATGATTTATCTAATTCCACATTCCTGTAATTTACCTAGTTCTAATGTTTAACTGTTAGTCGAGAGTTCAGGCATGTCGAATGTCAATTTACGCGGAAACGTCAAGTTCTCCTTGTTATCACAAGTGTGAATCTACGTGTACTTGTGAAACAACCGATGGTGCACCCTATTGTCGGTGAGCACTGACGCGTGTTCGACATGACAGTAGACACTCCGGAAGAAAGCAGAATGGGATCCGGAGGCTTTCCCGAGACATCGGGGAAAAAAGGAACGAAGAGGGAACATATAAAAAAATATTCGCCGAATGATATTACGAGAACAATGTTATAAGCAATTTCCTGCTCACCTCTGAGAAACATTCCACTCTGTGGAAAATTTATGAAAATGTTTAAAGTGAAAAAGCAATTGCGCAAGATGCTCGCAATTATCGCACAATAATTTAAGAGCGAATTCTCGAGATTAATGAATCGTAAATTCTAAAATCTGAAGTCACGACAGTTTTTGAATATTGCATAATCCATAAAAAATGTATAATAGAATTTTCATAATTGAGATAATTCTTTTTCAAATATTTATCTTTCGTAAATAATATCTATGTGCATGTATGTAATAAAAAAATAAATAACGAAAAATAAATATATTATCTGAATTGCAAAAATTAT